TTCATTAATAATAGGTGGATTACACATCTTTTGGAATTTATTGGATATCTTATAATTAATATCTTATTTATAATTTTTTAATATCATTTATCCTTATAATGTAGATACTTATTTTAGATTATTTGATTTTGCACAATTTGATTTCCTTAAAATATTTCTCAACATTGAAGATTTAGTAAATAATTATGTTAGTTCACCTGATCCTCATTTTAAATTTGTATTGAAGGGTTACTCATCCACATTCTACATCAATGCTTTTGCTGTTTTTATAGCATTTGTAACTACATTATCAATTTATATTATATGCATAATAGGATTTAGGATATTAACTAAAATAATGGCTCATTATTCAGAGGAGAATTTATATATAGATGATGAAGATCCAGAATTATTCAAATATATCATTCTTAGAATTATAAGAAAAGTCTAAAGAGTTTTCCTTAAAATTATTCATTATTTTGGTTCAGGATTATTAAGAACATTTATGTCAGTTGCATATGAATACAATCTTGCTATTTTTCTATAATTATCAGTACGTAATTTATAGAATCCCTTTTTGACATCAAGTTTTATTGTAAGTATTATTTTTTTATTAATTTAATTGTATTTTATTTTAAAGGGATTCTTTCTGATGAGTAATCAACTGTTTTATTTTAAGTAATAATATGTAAAATAATAATATGGAGCTTTATTTGAAGGCATTTAAATAAGAAGATAAAAACCTTATTCTAATTATTATAATCTAATTCTTCTTTGTAAGAAAGTATTATTCATATTTTTGATAGTGTTTTGTTATAGTGAAACATATATTACTATTTTATCATGTTCAATACTAAATGTTATATTTATCTTATACGTTAAATCAAATTATCCATTAAAGGATATATATGAACATTATAAAGTATTAGGGTCAGAATTACTTATTTGGCTAGTTGAGTTATTAATCTTGATACTATTTTATAAATAATAAAATGATTCAAATGAATAAGAGGAATTAATAATTGGTTGGTTCATAATCGTTTTATGTACTTTATTAATTTTATATTAATTTATTCTCGATTTTAAATAACATTTTGTATTTTTGAAAGAAAATTATGTGATTATTTAGAATCTTATATAAAAAATAAGAAATTACTTTAACAAACCAATTTAAGTTCATTAAGAATCATAAGCATTTTTAGAATAAATTCCAAATATATTTTAAATATAACAATAAATATATATGGATTAAAGAAAAATAGTAACATTTAGAATGGAAAATTGAAAATTCAATATTTTTAAACTTATTATTATTAATGAAATAATAATAAATTTATTGATTCTACATAAATATTTCTATATGAATATTAATTATTATATAGAAATATCCCATATTATTTATGATATCTATATATTCTAAAATATGTTATTTAAATATCAAAATATCTTTTACAAGAGAGTATAATTGTAAATTATATTACATTTTATGTATAGAATTGATTAATTTTCATTTTGTAATTAGTTATACAATGTAATAATAAATATCAATTTAGGAATGTTAAAGAGAGAGTATTATTATTGGAGAAATAAAAAAAAGAAAGAGAAGAAGCAGAACAATCTATGAAAATTGCTAAATCTACTTAGATTACTAAAGTATTAGAGGATTAACCTTAAATATAAAAGTATTATATATACATAATTCAAAAGTACTTAATCACAATAACAGGAGAAAGAATAAACAAATCGAGAAAATGAAGTAATAAACACTTTAAATAAAATGTTTAATGAAAATCATTAAATAAGACATTAAATAGATGGATAGTTATAAAAATAAAATGAAATGTAAACAATAATTGCTTAAGATTCAGATGAAGAAATTGAGAAGACTGATCAAATATTTGTAAATTAATTGATTTCATAAGTAAATGAAAAAGAATTACAAAGTGAAGACAGGATTTATGTCAGTATGATAAATAATGAATTTACTACTGAAATTAAGAAATCTTAAAGATAATCAATGGATTTATAATAAATTAATATTCATGATCGATCATAATCCATTTTAAAATCAAACCTGATATTAAATAAATTAAACTAATTAATTTTAGTAAGAGATGATAATGATTATCTATAAAATATTGATAAGATTCTATATATTTAAAGATTTGTAAGATAAAAATTAGAAAAAGAATAAAAGGAAAGAATTGAAAAAGAATAACTCCATATTGAAAAAATGAATAGGTATAGAATTAATGTATTAAATGAATTAATATAAACTGAAATTAAGTATGTTGCTGATTTAGAGATATTAAATATGATTAAAAATCTATCAATTGAAAAATTTCCAAATAAAGAAGATGATATAAAAGTGATGTTTCATATTAATGAGATTCTTTAATTTAATACTGAATTTTTGAGTGAATTATAAAAGAATAATAATCTTAAGGATCCAAATGCTATTTTAATCAAAAACATAATTCCACTACTTAATGGATTTATATTCTACTATGAATATTGTAAAGCTTATAATTAAACTAGAAAAATAACTATTTAATATGAAGCTATGCCTGCCTATTAATAATTTCTCAAAGATATCAAAATACAAAATTTATTAAAAGGTTTAACATTAAATGATTATAACATTAAACCAGTTTAAAGATTACCTAAATATGTATTATTATTCAAAGATTTATTGAAACATACTATGCCATCACATCCTGATTATTAAAATGTGAAATTTTGTTTAGAAACAATTGAAAAGATTAATGATAAGAACAATAATGAAATGGATGTCTATTTAAAATAAGCAAAATTAATTGAATTATATTAGTAATTTGGCAGTATTTAAAATTTATCTGTTTTTAAACCTAATATATTTTTTATCTTTGAAGATATTTGTTAAATTTATACAAAAAAAATCAAATAAAGAATCATTATCTATGCATTTAATAATTTACTTTTATTTGCTAAAAAAAATAAAGTAAATGCTTTAAAGTATAAACTTCATATTCCAATAACTTAATAATCTTATATAAAAAATATGAAAGATTCATTAATTTTGAAGAATTCATTTGAGGTTGTAACACGTAATGAATCAATTATAATAGTAAATGGTGATTAAAATACAAAATAAATACTTAAAACAAAAATTGAAAATATTATAAATTAATAAATTGAATTATTTCAATCAAAAAAAGATAAAAAATAAGAGATCAATTATTGTGTTAAAGTAGAAATGATAGGAACTCAAAAAAATCCAAAATTAAATAAGAATGTTACATTTTATTAAATAAATTTTACTATTGATACTGTTACTATTGTATGTCTAATTAGATTTAGTTAAGTTAAGAGTTTATTATAAATTGTTAATAAATATGATAATAAATTGAAAATTCCAAATATAACAAAAAGTTCATCAAAAAATTAAAAAGCAATTGATGAAAGAAAGTTAAGGATTGAATAATTATTATAAATTGTTTTTAATTCTACATAGATAATTGAAAATAATGAATATTAGAAATAGGTTTTGGAAATTTTGAAAATTGATTCTAAATTTTATAGTTTACCAGAACAAAAAAGATTAAAACCTGAATTATTTTAGAGTATATGCAAATTGAAATAAAATTAAGTTAATTCATATTTAGAAATTCTTTAAGAATTACAACAATAAACATATAATTTAAAAATAAATAAAGATGATTAATAAGTTAAAATTGGTAATGAAGCTCTATAATAACCTTATTGTATTGAAATAACACTATTGACTGGATAAAATTTATAGGTTGGATTCAAAAAAAATACATTAACATGGTTTATAAAAAATGCAATTGCAAATCACATTAATTTAAAATATTTTGTTGACTTTAAGATATTTATTGTAGATACCGGAGGAACAATTAGAGTAATAGAAGATGATGAAAAAATATCAACATTTTTAGATAAGAGTAAAACAGGATTTCTTTAAGTATTAAAAAAGATGTTTAAGAATGGAACTAAATTTTAATTTATATTTAGAAAGTATTTATATTTGCCATAGAAATAAGAGGAATTAGAATATCGTTAGGATGAAACTAGATTGAAATATTTAATGTTTGAAATAGTATTTTAAGCTAAAAATTAAATATTTCCTTTAAGTTTTTTAGATTTTTGTTTAATGACAGCTTTTTATTCTATTGCAACCCAATAAAAAATTGATAAGAATTTATTGAAAAAAACATTGCCTAATACTGTAATTAAATAACATTCTGAAAAACTTTGGTTTGATTAGATTTAAAAGGAAGTAACATTTCGAGAGAAATAATTATAAGAATTTTTATAAAAATAATAATTGTAGTAATAAAATTAAAAGAATAGTACTATTTAAGGTTTGTCAAGCTAATTGATGATAGCTTGTTTTTAGACTAACATATTGTATGGAATGTAATTATTTTTTGTAGAATGTACAAAAGAAACTATTTAAATATTTTAGTAATAAGAATTTGGCATTAAATTAAGCCCTCATATTTTAATAGGTATTTAAATTTATAATTGAAGGTTTGAATTATAATGGCTTTCATTTCATAAGACCAGACAATAGAGTTGTACTTATTAAAATTGATTATGGTTTGATTTCAGAAATTAAATCGTTCGTTATTGAGTTTACTTGTAAAATTAAAAATTACAATTTGATTTTTAAGACGTAAACCCCTTATGAAGTAAAATATTCAGTTTAATAATTAGATTAAACACTTAATTTTAGAATATTAGGAATTAATTAAAATTCTAAATTCTTGATAATTAATTATAATTATTTTATAACATTCAATCTTTTTAACGTAATATATTATAATATAAATAATTTGAGAACATAAGATTTAATTGATTAATATTCCATCATAACATCTGTATTAATTTATAGAAGAGTGAAGGTTAGGAACTTAAGTTGTTTTACTTATTCTTAAGTAAGATTATGAAGTAGTCAATAGTTAAACATTTTAAAAGTACATAAAGTGAGTATATAAAAACATTAAATAAATAATTATATGTAAGAAAATGAGTTTCCCATCTCAATTTGTGTTCCCTCTTTCAAAAAGAATGATGATGTTGTCTATTATCAATTAATGTAAGATTTTCATCAGATTCTAAAATATAGTTTCATCGAAAATAATTAAAGATGTACCTTCTCAGTTGATTATCGATATTCCCATCTTAAATTATTGCATGAATCCTTATCGACTCTTAAAGCGAGTTTGCCGAAGTTTCCTTCGACTAATTGGTGGAGATCCACCAATACAAATGAAGAATTAATAGAAGAGAGAAGAATACAGTTAGATTATTTCTTTAAAAATCTCTTCTAATGTTAAGGAGTATGCAAAAGTTTGATTATGAAAAATTTCATTCTCAAATCTCAATGTTTATATCTGAAAAAGGTTGAAAAAGTATGTAAAATCTTTGTAATTTAAGTAATAACGTGATATCCTGAAGAAAGAAAGAAAGGCTTAAGCAACCCCCTCCTTAAATAAACAGAAATCCAAGTCTCAAGTAAATTCATTTCAAAATAGTAAATAGTTGACAACCCCTATTTTTGGGCCTGCTGAAGATCCAATAGAAGATCCTCGTGAGAGATCCCGTTCTTGGGAATTTAAATTAACTTAAAAGAAATCTCAATAAGTCTTTGAGAGAGATTCTAAGTAATTAAACAATGTATTTATTCTTATTCTTTATTTTAGTTAAACTTCGGTGGAGTTCCTATATTTAAAGGCATTCTATTGAGATTTAAATGATAAAAATAGATTTCATATAAATATTAAAAATATTATTATTTCTTTTGCTACATTGAGAGTATTACCCAATAAAACAACATTAAAATCAATATAATCATTTTAAAATTAATTTAGAGAGGTTCTATCCGATACCTCTGGCACTATTGAAACTACAAACACTTTTTTAATTTTTTGAAGTATGAATATATCTAGTAGTGGATGCAGTCTAATAGGAATTATTAGAATTCGAAAGATTAAATGCACTACTATACCATAAATTAATATCATAAGCACAATTTTCTTTAATATACCTTATTAATTCTAGAACTTAAAAACTTGATGGTCTATCAAGTGGATTAGGTCTGGTCATAATTTTGACTAATTCGAACAATTGATTATTTTCACTATTTTGATAAGTTTTATTTTTTTAAAAACTAATATTAGATTAATTTGATTATTATAATTTTGTTCCTGTTAAAAGCATGTATAAAACACAACCAGCTCCAAAGACATCTACTTTGAAATCATAGTTAATTTTTGTTTAATGTACATTTATAACTTCAGGTGCAACATAACCTTCTGTTCCACAATTAGGATTTTCAATTAATTATTTACCATCATAACAAGCAAGCCCAAAATCTATTAATTTGAGTTTGTTGTTATGATACATTATATTGGCTGGTTTAATGTCTCTATGAAGTATTTAGTTCAGATGTAGAAATGTCAAAGCTTCAAGTAATTACTTAAATTTTATCTAATTTATACTTGTATAATTTCTATAATTTCTTCATTTTTAATTTGATTTGATTTATTGAATATAAGTTATTTTAAATTATCTCCTTCAATAAATTCAGTCACTATTTAATAATACAGTTCAGTTTTAAAGACTTCATAAATCTCTACAATTTTAGGATGCTTAATTGATCTTAAAATCTGAATTTCATTTTCTATTGTTTTTTATTAGTCTTTCTTTCCATTTATTAATATATGTTTAATTGCCACTTTCTTATTATTAAAATAACATTCATTTGTAGTAACCTATAAATTATATGTTAATTTAATACCTAACCAAACGATCCAGCTTCTAACGTAGAAAGATATTTATAGTTTTAAGTTAGATTGACAAATATCATTTTGTTACTCAACCTCTATCTAAGTTATATAAGGTCGATCTGATCACCATAAAATTCTTTCAAATTACCTTAATATGGAAATTTGAAACCAACTAATCTTTATTGTTTTATTATCCATTCAAAACTTGTAAATTCTTCAATATTCATTATATACTTTGGAGTATCTGTATTTTAATGCTAGAATATGTCACAACTAATTACATATGTCATAGTGATGAGGTTATTGTGTTATTTTAACTAATAAACTCTATCTCTAAAAAAATGTTTTCGAACAACTCTACAATAAAACGGCACTTCTAATTGGTTTAACTAGAAAGGTTGTTGTAGTGATTTTTTTTACATTTAGATATAATAAATTAATTATTTTAAATCATTGATTAAACTCAAATAACTTGCTTTTATTCTCTTTAAAAATAAATTAAAATGCTAGAGATGTTATCTTTACCATATTCAGACTCAACATTCTTTGCCACAATTGAATCGCATATAGTTTCTAAGATATCTTATAAAGGCTTCCCTTATTGTATTCTCTCTAAAATAACCTCTGAAATAGCATTATTAGTCCAAGTTTCCCAAAAACCTATAATTTATCATTAATAATATAAAACCATGACTTCCCATTAAAATTAATTCTGTCTCCTCTTTATCAACATATTTTATGCTTGGAACAGAAATAAGCAATTATTTACTCTAATCTAAATTAGAATTAGATTTATATTCAAAATTTCCTAAACCTCTACTATATGGGAGATGAGCATTCACTCTATTTTCCCAAACTTCTCCTCCAGCTGCAAGTATCCTTTGTTTTTCATGATCATTCATTGGATAATGTTCAACAGTCATTACTTTATGTTTACCTTCATATCGAATGATACATCTGGATAACTATTTTATCAAAAATGATGAAATACTCCTGCATTTGCTACATAAATATTTTCATTTGTAATCAAAGTTAATAATAATGTGACACCTTAATAACTAGTACTCTCCTTAAATTAATTTTTTAGTTAATTATCCAATCTTTCATATAAACCTATAATAGCTTTGTCATAATTTTTCTATTTATATTCTTAATCATTAACAAGTGCTTCCACTATGTGATCCTGAATATATTTGCCATATTCTATCCCACCATATTGTTCCACTATACAGAATAAACAATTCTCTTAATCAAACTTCTCCTTTATTATTACAAATTCATCCTACTGTATTTGCCAACCCTATAAAGATGTAGACGTATATGCAAAATCCAATACTTTTCCAGATTGGGTTAATTTTGTTGTCTCAGGTTTTGCTAAATACAAACCCATTTCCAATTATATACAAATAATTAATTTTGATAAAACCTGATATACATACTATATATTCAAAATATCCATATTTTAGATTTTTTATTAATATACTTTAAATCCTAAATTATTTCAAGGTTCACTCTATATAAAAATTGTAATCAATATATGAAGTAACTAAGAATTATCGATATAATTATTACTTAAATTTATTAAGGTTAAATAAGATTAAGATCAAAGAACTTTATTTTATTTAAATTTCATTTTCTTATCTATTTCTCTATTAATAATAATAATCTTAAAGTCCTTATATTATTCAGCCAATTTCTTTAATAATTATCGATATTTTGAACTATAAATATTACTGAAAGATGGAAAGTATTTAGAATGCATAATTTAAATAAAAATTGTCCTTGAAACTAAAATTATTAATCAGAATAATAATTATGATTTATTTTACAACAAAAAATAAGATCATTTCATATAATTAATGATAAAAGTTTCAAAAATGATCGCAATCTAACAAATAAGCCTATTGTGGTCAAAATACAATTATTTTATCTTTCTGTTTAAATAAGATTATAATTAAAACAACTTATAGATTGATATCGATATAGACTCCCATTTTTTTTTGTGGATGATATAAAAAAGTCTAATTATTGTTGAACATTATTTTATAAATATTAAGAATCTTCTATTTTTACAAATAGCACTTTATAGAAATTACTACTTATTAATAAGATATTCTGTATTGATAATACATATGATTTATTTATTATATATTTATGTTTTATTAATATTTCGATAAAATATCAAATTAATTACACTCATTATAATTTAACTTATAAAAATAGTATCATTAATATCTATATTTATTATCAATATTTGATATATAATTATATACAAAGAAATATAGATTTTTTGTATAATATTTAAATGAACGTATGAATTTGGCGAGTTGAAATAGTAAGAAATATGTAAAATACATTAGAAATTATAATGCATTATAAAATTATCAATTAATATCTTTTAACATATTGTCTTTTGAATGTGAATCTTGAAATACAATTAAATATTTTGAATAATATTAACTTATTTTAGTTTAAAACAAGATATTAGAAATTTTGAAGAGCATAATATAATTAAGATTATTAATGAATGATACTATTGTAAAAGAGATAATGCCTACAAAGATTAGTGATAAAGAGAAGAAGATTATTGAATATCTAGAGGAAGAGCTATTATTAGAGCAATTCACAGATCCCTTGTTGAAATAAATGAACTTTGAGTTGTCAAAGAAGAAAACCATATTCTCATTTAGATCTATGGACTCTGACACTGAAATCTCTGAAGCTACTTCTTGTTCAACCATTAAGAGTAGCAAACTATAAATGTGTAAGTCGCCCTTGTTTAGAAGAAGACTCAGTGCATTAGTTTTAGAGTAGTTATCTTGATTTTGTATTATTTAACGTATTTTGAATCTCAATATTGGAAGAAGGAATAAGTGTCTCTCTCTACATATATTTCTTACATTTGATTTTATTAGTAAAATAATTGAAATATAAAACATTTGTAAATGTAACCAATAAGGCCTTCTTCGGCAAGTTAAACATTACCAAAAGTGGATCAAAAGAGTACAGCAAGGAAAAAATCAACTTATTAATCTCTTTTTCAACCAATCACAAAACCATCTGCTTTATTAATTGAAACTCCTGACTAACAATTAAAGAAAACTTAAGTATTGGAATTATTAGGATTCTATGAAAAATGTATTATTGATATTAAGAGTAGAACTAATGGCTGTAAAAGGAACAAATCAGGAAAAAAGTGAAGTGGATAGTATCTTTAAACGATTAAACACATTTGCAATGACATAAATTGAAAAGCTTGGATTTCATGATACAAGTATATTGATTCTATAATGGATTATTCAACATAAATAATTTGAGGAAATTCCAACATAAATGTATATATGAACCCTCTTATTTTATATAGTTGTTTAGCTTATAACAATTTAAGTTGTGTTTATCGTAGAATGGGATAAACACAGTTAGCATTAAATACTTTAGAGAATGCTTTACAATTAATTCAGATGTATGAATAAATAAAAATGGAAACAATAACATATTTGAATATTACATCTGTTTTAAGTTCAATGAATATGTAAAAATATTATTTTATTTTTAAGGCATGATAAAGCATTAAAGAATTCATTAAAAGCTATTTAATCAGGCAAGAAAGAATTTGATCCTAATCAAATTGAAACTGTTAAATATTTGGCTATGGCTAATTTTAACTATGGATGTGAATTAGAATAATTAGATCGTTTAGAAGAAGCTGTAAAACAATATAAAAGAGCATTATAATTTGTTCTTGAACATTTAGGTAATCACGATCCTTTTTTTTAAAAATTTCATATGAAACATCATTAAGCAAAGTAAAAATTAATAGTATAAATGAATTAACAATAACCAGGTCTATTTAAAACAGTATTATAATTAAAGAAATAATATGAAGTTCCAACAGATGAGAGTTATTAATAAACAACTCCTTTATGTTAAACTAAAAAATTTTCAATGTTAAAGAAAAATAATTATATGGAGGATTAGAATTATTAAAGAGATAGTAGTGAAACAATAAAGAAAGGAATGACAGATGAAGAAATGTTTTAAGATATAAAATTCTAGAAACCTATAGAAAAGAAAGAAGAAAAATCATAATAAGTGAATTAAAAATTACAATAAGATGAGATTTAATCAAGAAAACAAAGTTAGGTAATTAATAAGAAGATGAATCAGATTGAATAAATATAATTAGAAGCATGGTCTAATTCAGAACCATCAGATACAGAGATTAAGAAATAAAGAATTAATGAGAAATCTCCAGAATTAAAGTTATCATCTGTTAAAATAAATACAAAAGATTAAAGATTAAATTTTTTAAATAAATAAAATATATCTAAATAAAAAGTTGATGATAATTTATTGGAGAAAGAATAATAAATTATAAGAGAAATAGAAGAATAAATATATAATGCAGAGAGCATTGCAAAAATTTAAGCTTAATTTAGAATGAAGAAGGAGAGAAAGAAGTTTTATTGTCTCAAAAAAGCTAAAAAAGATTAAGGAGAATTATTACCTTCTGATGAATTGAAACTTAAATAATTTTAGAGGTTCATAAAAAGAAAATTAAATGAATTGAAAATGAGAGAGATTACAAAAAAAATAGTATAAAAAAATAAATTAAAGAAATTTCCTAATACTGAAAATTAAGCTTATAAACGAATTATATCTTTATTAGAAACATATAAAGCTTATAAAAGAATGCTTTTACATAAATATATAGTAAGAACAAGATAATTCTAAACTTTGAGATAGAGTTATTGTCATCCAAAATAGATGGTTAATGAGAAAATTGAACCATTTAGAGATTCATATATTTTTACATTTGGTATAACAAATGATGATTCATTTGTACGTTTTTCATTAGTAAATGGAGTAAAAAATAAAAGAAAAGAATAATAATATTATTTTGAAATGGATATTTAAAGTTTTTTAAAGTCTCTTGGATTATTGCATTAATATATTGAAGAATTAGAATGCTTTATAATTGAAGAGAATTAATTATTAAAGAATTTAAAGAATTTATAAACAGTGGCATAATAATTTATAATAATGAATGAAGTTGATGGGAAATATGTTGTAAGATGTTTAACTGAATTTTAAACATAATTTAGATTAGCACTTTAGAGAACAGCAGTTATATTGCAAGAACTTATTTTAGTTGATAATAATAAGCTATATATTTAAGGAATAAATAATTTTGAATATAATGATGTAGTTCCATTTGAAGAAGAAATTAGAGTAGTTAGACCTCCTCTTTACACTAAAAAATTGAGTGAAAAAGAATTAAGTTCTATAAAACTCATCTAATCATTTATGAAAGGTTATTTACAGAGGATTAGAGTATAAAAATGGATAAATTAAAAGTAAAAACAAATATATTCAACAAATTTAATAAAAACTGTGACTGGACATTATTTAAAAATTGTTAAAGCATAACATTTATAAAATAAGAAACATTATTTATATATAATAAATTAAGAAACATAAAAGAAATCAAATGATTTAGAAATAAAATAAATAGTATTTTAAAATATGGGAGAAATTAGTAGAGAAAATTTATTTGAAATATTGAAAATAGATTTAGATGGACCAAGTATAGAATATAGTGATGAAGCTAATTATTGGATATAAAAATAGGAAGATTATTAAAAAAGAGGTGGTAAGGAAACATATTCAAAACTAAATAAAGATGATTCAATTGTATTAATTTAAAGAGCAGTTTTACGTTATTTATTAAAAAGAAGATGTATAATTAAGAAAATTAATAAAACAAAATTTAATAATAGTGATTAAAAAAACATAGAAAGAGAAATTTTGGTTAGAAGAGCAATAATTTATGGATCAGATATGAATTAAAGAGCATGTTTAACTACATTATATTTAGAAATAGAAAGAACAGATCCAACTACATCTTTAATGGGTTAAAGTGAATATTAAAGTGTATTGATAACTTCAAAAAATTTAGAACATGTTTATGCATTTGATAAATGTGTTCCATTTTATTAGAAATTATTTTATCCATTATCTAGAACAGAAATTATAACAGTAGCATAAAGAATGGTTGAAGTTTCAAGAATAGTAAAAAATAAAAAGGGAGAACCTAAAGTTGAATGTAAGAGTGTTGATTAAGTTCATGGTGAGATATTATCAAAATAAGGAGAAGAGGATGATATTAATTAAAAGAAAGAGAATACACTTGATGCAAGATTGAAGATTGGATCTACATTAAGGGATAAATATTTATAATAATTTGTATCATGTTTAGAAGAGGATCCAGAAATGAAATTAAATCATTAAGCTGAAGATAATAAATAAAAAAATTTTGTTTCTGCACTTTAGAATGTTTTTAGAGATTTTAAAATTAGATTAACTTAAAGAGTTAAGACAACAAAACATGTTGATGAAGAAGATGAAGCATCAATTAAAGCTTATGTATAAAATGTTTTACCTACTACAGAATATGGTACTAATCCAAATTTATTTAATGATATTAATTAAGATTAATTATCAGATGTTAAATCTTAACATTCACTTAAAGAAGATTTAGATTTTGTTGCAGAATTTAATATCACATTATTGGATAATTTATTCAAATTGTAGATATTTTATTAAATGAATTAGTAGATATTTATAGTTCATGGATAAAGTATTTATACTTCCAAAATTTATAAAACATCAATACTAAAATCAGATCTTATTAATAATTATGATATTCCATATAATTATATCAAAGAAAATTCTTAGAATGTTATTTTACCACTTATTGATTTTTAAGATGAAAAGATTATATTTTCAAAAGATGAAATTAAATTGCAAAAAATTGTAGATGATTATTTAGCATTTGAATTTAATGATGATAAATCATCAAAAAAAGGAGTTTCTATTGATCATGGATTAGAAGAAATACCTCCTGATTAAATTACTGATAAAGTAGTAATTGCTATTTATTAAAAAGGTACAAGTACTATATTCTATGAATTTCATAGAGAATATATGATTGTTAAGATAATTATTCATTTTAATAATACTAATGAAAAAAGAGTAGTTGAAATTGATACACATTAATTTCAATCTAAATATGTTGATGAAAGAATAAAAGATTTAAATAATAAATAAGTAATTAGATTTTTTAAAGAATTTACTCGTACAATTACAAAGGTAATTACAATTAATGAGAAAGAACATACTCATAATTTTGAAGATTTAAGAGGAGATTTATCTTTGTTTTTAAGAGAGAAGTTTGTTTAAAAGATATAAGGAATGTTAATGGTAAAAAGAATGGTTGAAAAATTCAAATTATATAAATAATTAAAACGTTCAAAATTACATATACATAAATTTATTGTTAATAGTGGTTAACATTATATTGAAATATCATATTTCCTTATTAAATAATCTAGCAATCTCTAATTAACTATGAGAGAATTGACATTTGTGACTCCATAGGGTCATCTAGTAGAGAGAAGTAAAACATTAAAGAGTAAAAGAAGATTAAGAGAAAAACAATTTTTAATTAATTTAGAAAAATTATCATAATAAAGTGATTAATTAATTAATTCATAATCTAAAAGATAGGATTAATTAGATCTTTAAAGAATTGATTTTTAAATTCTCTCTAAATATGATTAAATGAAAACTATCTAATATTATAGATCATTGATGACTCCTTTAATTTCTTTAATTTAGAAGAATCTTGTTATTAATTTCAATAAATTTCAATTTTCATTGACTCTTCCAATAATTATGATAGAAAGTCATATAATGAAAAAGAAAAAGAAGAATTATTCACATGAAACTAAATTCTAATTAATGACATATGCAGTAATAGC